TGGCGCTGTGGCTCAAGTGGTAGAGTGCTAGCCTTGAGCTGAAGAGCTGAGGGACAGCGCCCAGGCCCAGAGTTCAGGCCCCATGACCAGAACCAAAAAAAAAAAGAAAAAGCCGGAAGTGGTGCTGTGGCTTAAGTGGTAGAGCGCTAGCCTTGAGCTGAAGAGCTGAGGGACAGTGCCAGTTTCAGAGTTCAAGCGCCATGACCAACAACAACAAAAACATAAACAGGACCTGTGTTTTAATAGATTGCAAACCAAACTAGCTGATACTAGTTAATGAGGTTTTTGTTGTACTGTGCAGGAGCTTGAATGCAAGGCCTTGCACATGCTAAGTAAGCTCTCTATCCTTAGCATCTCCTCCCCAGTTAAGTTGTTTTTTGTTGTTGTACGTTGTGGGGCTCATACTCTGGGCCTGGATGCTGTCCCTCAGCTGTTCAGCTCAAGTCAAGCACTCTACCACTAGAGCCACAGCACCACTTCTGTTTTGTTTTGTTTTGTTCTGGTTAATTGGAGATAAGTCTCACCAACTTCCCTTCCTGGGCAAAACAGGCTTCTTTGTTTTTTTTTTTGTTTTCCAGTCATGGGGCCTGAGCTCTGGGCCTGGGCGCTGTCCCTTGGCTCTTCAGCTCAAGGCTAGCACTCTACCATTTGAGTCACAGCGCCACTTCCAGCTTTTTCTGCTAATGTGGTGCTTATGAATCAAACCCAGGGCCTCATGCAAGCAAGGCAAGTACTCTACCACTGAGCCACCTTCCCAGCCCTCCCTTTTTTTTTCTTTTTTGTTGGTCATGAGGCTTGAACTCTGGGCCTAGGCACTGTCCCTGAGCTTCTTTTGCTCAAGGCTGACACTCTACCACTTGAGCCACAGCGCCACCTCTGGCTTTTTCTGTGATTAAATTGGAGGTAAGAGTCTCACAGACTTTCCTGCCAGGTCTCAGCTTCCTGAGTAGCTAGGATTACAGGCGTGAGCCACTGGCGCCTGGCTGGGAAACTTATGTTTGATGTAGACCTCAACTAGTGTTCAAAGTTAAAAGACTTTTTATACATTTGGCCTGGTGCTTTTGCACATTTAGGAGAGGAAAGAAAGAGGTCACTTCTGCAAGTGAAACTCTAAATCCATTAACAAACCTTTGAAAAATCCTATCCATATGCTCACTTTGACACAACATCAAACCTACCCACTGCCTATCAAACACCCACTGGACAGTGCAAAGAAGAAATTCATTTCAAGGTTATCATCAATACCTTCATTTAGGAATTAGAAGTGTGTGCTAGAAAAGAAGTTGTGCAGAGAGCTAGGATTTGGCATTTTTTTTCTTTCAGACTATCCCAAGCATGCTCCAACATGATTTGGCGAGCCTTAAAATCTTTTTCAAAACACATAAACGAATGTTTTAAGCAACAACAATCAAGCTGTCATTACCAAATGAATCTCAAATACAGACAGCATGCATAGATTATTTTCCAAGACGAGTTTCTTAAAATTCCCCCTCAACACTTGCCAGTCATTTGCTGTATTGTACTTTTAATCCCTCATGTCAAATAATGGCCACTGAATTATAAACTTGCTGTATTTGAACTAAGAAGGATTTTTCAGTTTTAGGTAATTTAGAACTTGAGATTATTCTTTATTTCTAAGTGAAATAAGTGTAATACTAATACTATCTTCAGTCTGTTAAGACATCATAAACAGTTAAGTCCCTTTAGTTTGAAAACAAATTCTGTACTGGTTTACAGACAAGTTCATTTAATAGTGTTTAAGTGGAATATTTTGAGGAGTCCACTTCCCAACTCCATCTTGAAATTTACCAGGACTTACACCCAAAGCCCCCTTGCAACCTACTTTTTATCAATGAGTTGGCTTTTTTATTGAAATTCATTAAAAAAAAAAAAGCAAACTAGAAAGCAATTCCTAGGTCAGGAGTCTTAAGCTTCCTTAGCCACTTGTGGAATGATTAAAATTGGAAATTTTCAAGTCATCTCATTGGACCTTCTGATTCAGTAACTACAAGGAATTGTTCTTAATCTAACTTTGCAGTAAACGCTCCATACCTGCCATTTGTGACCAGAACACTCTTAAGACTGCTTACATACTCCCTAAAAACTTTGAATATGCCAATTTCTGTGCCATAAAAATACCTTTACCACTGCATGTGGCAGTGCTGATGAATTAGGCTCATAAGTCACAATGTTTACATTTATGTATCTTCAAAATTATAATAAGAAACCCTGCCTCACTTGTCAATAATCTAATTCTTTTAAAGTTTACCTGAGCGAAATTTGAGCACAATTCAACATCTAGTGTCCCAAAATTGAAGTATAAGAGTAAATAATCACTAAATAAACCTAATCTTGTGCTGCCTGGAAAAAATTTCAGAGGAACTGAATATTCTTGAGACGGGAGGAAACTACATGGTTCCTTGAAAGCCAATTAAAAAAAAAACAAAACAGAAGACAACCTGTACTAAGACCTCTTCACCTCAGAGAACAGGAAACAAGAGATTAAGCAATAACGGCAGGTAAATCATTTCCTAGACTTCCGGTGATTCTTGGCAGCCTAAAGTTGTGCTTTTGGAAAAGAGTCATCAGTCACAAAGTGACTAATCAAGTGACTTAAGAAAACCTAATATTTGTCAGGATGGACAGGTAGCAGCTTGCTGTCTTTGTTCCCCAAAAGACAACTTGAAACACTGACTTTTGGCCATATCGTGTCTTTTACCCAGAGCAAAATTTAACCATTTCCTACATAATTTGATCAAACAAGTCTGAGCTCTAAGTGGGTTTTTTTTTTTAAACTGGAGCTTGACACTGAAGACCAGTACCTGACAAAATATCATACAAAATTATACATGTTACATTTTATGGTATCTTTCTAACATAAGGAATTTGACATTTTATGGTATCTTTTCTAACATAAGGAATTTGGTGTGACAGTGACAAACTTCTGTCTAAAACAATGGCTAGAAAAAAAATACAAAACAACTGTTTCTTAGCAGCTCAGTTATTTTTTTTGCCCCAATTTTAAGGCCTGATGTATGTACAAAGATACTTCATACTTGACACACACACCATGTTCAATACATTAAAAAAAATCTGTTGCACTAAACTCGTTCTTCTAGTTGAGTTACCTTTCACTGTATGCCTTCTTAATGCTATATATTCATATAGATATTTTTTAAATGTCTAATTGTTAATCCTTTGGGAACATCTCCTAAGTAAGTAAGCTGAGGCTTGGGGGAAAGTCTGTATACCCAAGGCCAAAGGCAAGTCAACAGAAAGGCAGAAGAAGAATGGGCAGTGATAGAGCCCAAACAAACTCAAGAATTAACACAGACTAGAGTCAATATCCAGTCAGTTCTCCCTAAACAGGCAGCATTATCTCTGAAAACTCACAAAATAATCTACCTGACATTAAAGCATAATCCTAAGCATCAGACTGTCAAGTGAAACTTTCATTAAAATTCTAGCCATAGCATAAAAATGTGGTTTCTTGCCCTTGAAAGAAAAACACACAGGTCAAATAAGACAAAACAAGCTCAGTTTAATTTCAAACGTTAATATATTTTCTATTTTATATTGAACATATGCATCTGGAAACCCCCTCATTTGCAGCAACTATCACATCCTGATAAAAGGGGCAAGATTTATAAGATGCCTCTTAAAATAAATATTCTTTTTTTATAAAATAATAAAACTTCAAATAAATATACTTTACACTAAACAATATGTTGAAAAATTAGAAAATAAAGGTTGAATTTTACTGTAACTGTACAATATACATGAAGTCCAAAGGGAAATCAGAGTCTTACAATAAAGGCTTTCTGTAAGGCAAAATACAATCTAAAAACATACTGATTGATTCACATTCTTCCGAATGTACAACATATTAGTATAATATTTTGTGACTGTGCCACATAGAATGGCACAAACTTGTTTTTTTTTCACAGTTGCAAATATTATTGTATATACAAAAATATAGCACATTATCTCTGGAGAAAACAATGGGGGGGCGAGGTCATTTGCTAATTTACAAATTTTGCAAGGCCTATTCACAAACAAAAACAACTTTTGCCTAGGAGTGTCTGTTGCTTTAGCTTATGCAATACGTGGGTCACCAAGTTCTGTACCCCTTACTTTTCGCTCCATTAGCTGAGTTCTAACAAGCCTATCAGTTCCAATGGCACACAGACAAAAAAGCATCGCACTGCAAACATCCCAAATCTCTACTAACAGTGCCAAGATTATAACTGTTAAGTTGGTTGCATATGTGTGGTAAGGGAAAAAACAAAAAGCAAAAACAAACAACAACACAGAAGAAAACAAGCAAACAGAAAACATGAACACAATCCCCTATTACTGTAATACTCTGGATTAATAATGCTATGTTGGCTTTTCAAAGTTCCTGGGGGGGACAGTGGGAACTTTACAGCAAACTGTGTTGGAGTTTTTACAACGGCATCCAGGCCTGTTAACCCGGTCATAACACCCCTGGCACAATTTAAGGCAACCCTTGGCTGGAAGGTAACACCATAAGCAAGGCAAAAAGAGGGACATGACACCCATGGCTGACCATCGCGTACAACAGTGAGACTGGCTGCAGGAGCAGGGATTGTCAGCACAGTTGTCCTCATCATCGTTAGAGCAGTGATAGAAGAGCCCTTTCACGCAGCACACACAAGTCCCATAGTCGATCACGTTCTGGGCTGAGCAAAGGCACTGCTTGTCGCAGATCCAGTCCGATGGCAGGGGCCTCGGGTAGGTGCATTCCTTACATTTGCACTTGCCACAGTCCTCGCACCTGTAGGCATGCAGGCCCAAATCTTCCTTGCTCAGTGGCTTCAGCTCGCCTGGTTTGAGCTCAGATTTGGGTTGCACCCGAATGATGCCATCTGCACCAGGCCCCGAGGAGAAGGACGACCCTAGCAGTCTCTGTTCAGAGGAGCTGCTGCTGGTACTTGTCCTTGTGCTGCTCCGAGACCCTGAGCTGACGGTGCTGATGGACCTGGACAGAGGGGCTCTCGTGAAAGAATGGACCTGTGAGTGCTGGAGCCTGGGAGGCTGGCGGTGCTCAGGCAGCCCATGGAGTCTCTCATGCTTGTGCTGTGTGGAAGGACGAGGAGCAGGCTTGAGCCCAGGTCGTGGGACCACCGTAGGTCCCTCCGTGTACTCATTGGTGTTCCGAATGGCTCTGATCTGATCCAGAGACAACACATGTACCTGCTGGGTGAGGGCATCCCTGGGGTCCGGCTCCCCACGCTGCCTGCCACTGTCACGGGATGGCTGCAGCAAAGGCTGTGAGCCGTTGCCACTCTGAGCTCTGGCCTCCATCAGGTCTTGGAAGTGTGTTCACTCCGGCAGGCTTAGAACACATCTGAACTCCTGGGGAAAACCAACAGGAAAGAGAATGTTTATATTCTAAGATCTCTACCACCCTGAATTGACTCTTCCAACTCCCCACACCACACAGGATTTGAAATGGAAGGCCAGTAGAGAGGTATCAGAACAGCTACCTGTTTAAGGCATGTAGTCAGAAGTCAAGATGATGGCTGGGCACTGACAATTTTGTAATCTCATGATCAGAAGTGACACAAAGCTGATCTTTGTCTGAATTACTTAAGTAACAATCCCTTATTCAAATAAACATACATTCAGGAAGGTTCAGGTTCAACATAAAAATTTCAAAAAAGTAAAGTTGGAATCTAACATTGCTACCGACGTTTTTAGAAGTTAAAAATGCCTTTACAGAATTTGAAATAGAGTTAAATTGACCAGGGTCATTTTTGGCATAAACATCAACAAATGCAGGCTAGTACATTTCTGAGTCTGCCTTTGGATTATATACATGCACTATGAGTTATCTGATATTCTGTAGCTTTTCTAATTCATTAGGAAGGCTGTAACACGTTAAAAAGAGACATACTTTTCTCTTTTTAAAAAAAGGTGTACTTTCCCCCCAAGGACACCTATAAAGTTTACAATTTAAAATAACTGATGGTAGAACAAAGTCACAGGATTAAAAACAAATCATTTCAAATCCTATTAGGTATCAAAAGCAGATTAAAGCCACCTTACACAACAAGACAGGAACAGATTTCCAACTTCTCAACAACTGGGAAATGAAAATGCTGCCCGGTCTGACAGCCCAGGGCACCTTAGAGATTCTTCAAGCTCAAACGTGGTTCCTTCCCCGTTTTAAAAACACAGAATGCCACCATCTTAACCCATCTTTTCCTTTCGAAAACTAATAGCCAGAGAACATCTTAAAAGCCCACCGTAAGAACCCAAACAAGTAATTCTAGAGTCCTTGTCCAAAGCTAATTCTTCAGATTGCAGTCACTCGTAAGGTTTCAAAAGATCATTTCCTTCCTGCCAAACTTTCAGAAAACACACACACACACACACACACACACAGAAAAAGCCACACAGGCAAAAGTGAAGCTTTATCCAATGTCCGATTTTTAGAAAGGGGGGGGGAGGGGAGCCACCAGGAAGACGAAGGCAGGTGACAAACGCCTTCCAGTTCCGAGCCTGGCAGAGCTGGAAACCGGATCTCCTCACCTCGGAACAGACAAACGCTGCTGCTCCGGGCTGTCGCTGGGTTTATCTGCTCTATCAGCGCCCCAACACGGTCCCCAGCAGGTGGGACACAGCCAAGAACCAGCCCCCCGCCCCCGACCAGGGAAGAGGGGGGAGGGCGGGGAGCCCGTCCCGGAGCCAGCCTGGCCCCCCGCGCGCGATCCCCTGACGCACCGGCGGGGACGTGTCACGAAAACTCACGCGCGCACTCGCCCACCTCCGGGGCTACAAAGACCCCCCCACCTCCGGAGAGCCGCCTTCCAAGCCCCAAGAGGGAGCCACTCCGAGGCCCCCGGCCCCCAGGGGTCACGCAGCCCACCACCACCACCACCAGGCGTGTATCTACAAAGGCTCTGGAACTTCCGGCACAGGTTTCCAACACCCCCCCAACACACACCCCGCAAAGAAAACGTGGGTCTGGGACGTGCACAGCCCGACACACGGGTCAAACCCCACGCGCGCAGCAGAGACTCCACGGTGCAACACCGACCCCGAGGAAAGGGAGAGAGAAAAAACACACACACACAAATCCAGATTGCTTAAAGTGAAAGGAAACACTGCCTTCTCCCGAGCGTCGCCGCACACGCCGGGCGTGCGGGACCCAGGTCCCCCGGCTGCAAAACTTCACGCGCGCAGATCTGCTCGCCGTGGAAAAGCAGCAGCTCTGAGAGGGGGTGGCGGAGTGTGCAAAAAGTGCTTTCTGCCCATCCCCGGCCTCCTTCGCACTCCCCACGCCACTCCCCTGCACGCTGCCAGCTCTTCCCTCCGACTGTAGAGTGCTTTGAAACCCCCATTAAGAACTGTGTGTGATCAGACTGAGGATTAGGGAGAAAGGACTTCAGCACCAGGGTGGGGCAAACCGACACAGAAACCGCTTTGTAAAAATAAAACAAAAACGCAGAAGATTCCAAACTGAAAACACAGCAACCACCACGCGCGCGCGCGCACACACACACACACACACATACACGCACACGCACACACACAAGCCTCTTTTCCACCTACTTTTAGATAATGGAAAAAACGATCGCGACCACTTGATGACTTTCTTCCTGTGGAAGGGCAGCCTCCCAGTCCAAAAACATAAAAGCGTGACCGAGGCCGACCACGGAAAGCCGGGGGGAAAAAAAAACAGAGCGAGCGAGCAAGCCGCACTTCCGAACCGCAGAGAGCCGGCGCCGGGCTGGGCGACGCTCCCACCCGCAGTGGACTAGACTGGATGTCCACGCCGCTCTTCTCACCCGTGAGGTGTCTGGCCTACAGTGAGCAACTCCGTACACCCCCAACTTCAGCGACGCCCCTGCCTCACTCCGGTTAAACTCCCTTGCAACTTCTGCCTCCCACCGGGAAGGAACAGGTTTGCGCTACGAGGCGCCTGCCAGGTCGACCTGGAGAACGGGGTGCTATCCCCCCACCTCCCTTTCCACTCTCAGCGCCAAATTCGCGGCCAATGCAGGGGGCGCCGATAAAAATCCAGGCGAAGTGTTCTCTCCCCAGGAGCAAGGGCTCGTGGGGTCCCCACTGGATATCCTACAAGGGGGGGGGCGCACAGAGCAGACCCCAGCCCTGGCAGGCCGCTCCCGGAGGGGTAGATCCACCGCCAGCTCCCTGGATCTACCCCCCCCACGCCGTCTCCCCACGAAAGCCTGGGGGTGGGGGGGACGGTCGGAGGACAGACGCACCCCACTCCCAACCGGGCTCCACGTTGCCCGCCCCGCGCCGGTGCCACGGCTCCACGAGAAACCCGAACGCGCCTCACCGTGATCGCGGCTCTGCACACCCCTCTCCCCAGGATTCTCTTCCTGCGAGGTGCAAGTAAATCCAACCTCGATGCAAACTTTCGAGGGGGAAAATTGTCTTCTTTCTAAATTCTGCTTCAGTTCAACTTCCCGAGCAATCGGTGGGAGAAGAAAATTCAGAGCCAGGTCCCCCCCGCGGTGAACACACTCGGGGGGCTCGGAAGACCCCCGACTCTTCCAGAAACGCCAGCCGAGTATCTCCTCTTGCTTCTTCTTCTTCTTAATTTTTCCCCTCTCTCAATGAACAAGAGGCCGTAGCGCCCACCGCGAGTCTCTCTCTCCTCTTTTTCCCCCCCGACAGAAGAGGCGAAGGAGCAGAGAAACGGCCTTTTTACAAAGCAGCTCCAGGTCGCCGAGCGGTGGCGGCCCCGGTGGCGTCGGGAGCGCGGCGCCGCGAGCCGAGCCGGGCCGGGCGGCGCGGGGGCCTGGGCGCTGCGCGCTCCGCCGGCCCCGGTGCTCCGCTCGCGCTGCGGCGCGCAGCTGGAGGCGCGGCGGCGAGGCCGAGGCGGGGGCGACAGGGGCGGGGGCGGAGGAGGAGGAGGAAGAGGAGGAGGGTGCGGGGCCCGGCCGGGGGGGTGGGGGTGGGGGCTCGCCGTTGGCCTGCGCCCTCGCCTTTCCGGAGGAGGCTGGGAGCTGTGCGGCGGCCGCGGCAGCAGTAAATGGCGTCATGTGGATCCGAGGCGGAACAGAGCAGTTGTTGTCCCAGAGGATATATCGCATCCGGTCCCCGCTCATTGGCTCGGCGGGGCTACATTCACTCGCGCTCCAGCGCCCGCCGGCGCTCCGAGCCGCAGGAGGCATTCAAAAGGGCAACCGCGCCGCCCCGCGCGTCCCCCCGGCGGGTCCTGCCGCCCGGGCGCCGTCACGCGGGGGACCCCGCCCGCCCGCCCGCGGGGCCGCGCGGGCCAGCCAGCACCCGGGTCAGTTTATCTAGTTGCAAGGAAACCCTGACCTTAAGGTCCCCCCCCCGCCCACCCCGCAGAGGCCACGAGGACCGCAGCCCCTCGGGGCTGGGGCGGGGGAGCCGGACTTAGGGAAACTTTCCCCTGGCCATCGGGGAACGGGAATGCACGTTTCCAATGAACCCCGGGCCGGTCCACAACCCGTTGCAGGTTTTAGACTTTAGACAGCATCCATTTCAAGTCCACTTCATCCTCCCCCACCCTACTCCCCAGCGCGGAGGGAGGCGGGGAGCCGACGCCGGGAGAGGGGGAGTTGGGGGAGGAGGGAAAGGAAAAGGGGAGCGGGAAGTGAGGTGGGAGGGCTATTGGTTTATTCTTTGTCTACTGGATTAACCCGATTATACACCGGGCACCGGCACCGACCGCCTCCCCCCACCTTCCGAGCCTTGTACGGGAGGAACGGAATGCAGATTCGGGTTTCAAGTCCCTTCTGGCTCTCGCTCAGATTCGCATTTGATTGCGTCCGACTCCCTAGTTTCTCGATTGGATAAGAATTTTCTTTTTCAGGGCGGGTTGTCTTATAGGAGATTGTATTTTATTTATTTCTTCATTTTTTTTTGGGGGGGGAGATTCTCTTTCACTGTTTGGGCTCGTCTCCGTCCGCAGCTGAAGGAGAATTCTCCGATCGGAGTCTTTTAAGTGAATTCACCAACACACACACACACACACACACACACACACATCTGCGATCGCTCGGGGCGACCTGGGTACACTTCCGAAATGGGCGGGGGTGGGGGAGGCTCGCGGTTCCAGGGCAGAATCCCTTGTTCCGGTCCCCAGCGGTCATCCTATTTGTGGGGGGCTTGGGGGGCGCACTCCTAGGTCACCAAAGCCTCCCTCAAGCAAGTTCCCACCGTCCAGGTGGAAAGGGGACTGTATTTCCCTACTTAAAAAAGCAAAGTCCGGGCGCTTCGCTCCGCGCGGTGCGCGGACCGAGAAGAGTGCCTGCACGCGGGGGTGCCGGGCGGAGAGGGCGCTCTCTCCCCGGTCACTGGCCGGACGGTTGCTCTTCACTAGATGGGGAAATACCTGTTGGGAAGGTCAGCATTCTGACACAGCACCTGCGATTGCTTTCTTTCTTTCTTTTTTAATGGCCCGGGCGGAGGTGAGGGCTAGGAAAACGTGGTGCATGGATTCTCCAGCTCCCGCCGGCAGCCTGGCGTGGCTACCCGGGCCTAAGCTGCCTCCTCCCCCACCTCGGGCTCTGAAAGTCCCCCCGACGCGATCTTGGCCTCGCGGCGCTCTCTTCACCCTCCTGCACGTGTCTCTGGGTGACTCGCCTTCGGTCCCGCGGCTTGGAAGCAGAGATGGCAGAAGAAGTAGCATGCATGATTTCCGGACCCTAGGCTACTATTCTCTGAACCCCTTGGGCGAGGGTGGAGAAGGTTAAATCGGCCCGTTTTGGCGGCATGGTGGGAACTGCGGGTCCTGGACAGCTGGGCCTCTCTCCGGCTGCCACTACTACTTGTACGTCCTCGGAATCCATGGAGGTTCCCGGGAGCGCAGGCGTCACTTGCGCTGACGGCGGATCCAGCCACCAGGGGGCGCGCGTCCGGCGCGGGGCTGGAGCTGCTCGCGGGTGCGTGGGTCTGACTTCCAGACGAGTGCACAATCAGGGCTGGCTGGTTTAAAGCGATTTTTTAAAAAAGAGATTTATAATGTAAACAGCGAAGCAGGTAGCTTCCCTGCCCCCCCCATCTCCTTGGATACCTTGTGCTTTGAGCCTGTGGTGAAATTCGAAAAGAACTCCAGCTTTTACCAAGGGTATAAAGAGTTGGTGGTCAAAGCCAGGTTTTTGCAAGGCTGGTCGGGAAAGCGCTGGTGCCTGGCCAGCTTGTCACTTGCATCCAGCAGGTGAAAGAAACGCCCTCTCTTCACTTCCTTAAGGAGGTGGGGGGGGGGGGAGAAGAGGTGCGTCTTGTGCATGTTTCTTGTGCCCAGGCTGAGAGACTGGCTTTGCAAAAAAGTCGTGTTAAGAAGCAAAGCATACAATGCAGTTTAGATTAGAGCACCTTGCATTTCCATTGAGTCAATGGGGAGAATCTAGGAATTTCCATTTTCCATAAAGTAGAAAGAATTGTAGGTAATCTAGCTTGTGTCCCTCCCCAACCTTTAGTTTACGTTTAACGTGCAACTTAAGAGTAATCACAAGCATCGGATGGATTCTAATCATTACTTAGTCTTTATTGTGCTTAAGGAAATGTTATTTTTAGTGCATTATACAAACATACAAACAGAAACCCCCTTGTGTATGTATGTTGGAGAGATGTAGAACGCAACGAGTATGGCTCCTGTTGCCGTCTCAAACTAAAATTGGGGTTCATTTTGAGAGATAATCCAGAATGATGATAGAGTTTGGTAAAACTTTCAAATGAGGACTATTTTTTAGTTGCTCTGTGGAAAACGCAAGGAAAAGAACTTTAATGCCAAAACAGGTTGTGCCATTTGCCAAATGCTGAAAAATCCGGAATTCACAAAAATCCATGCTACATACACCAAGTTCTCAGGACTCATCAAGTAACGGACTTTCCAGCCCTAGCTAGAAAACGGGACTCAGCCATACACTGGAGGTTTCCCAACCTTCTCTTCATTTTCTGTACTGTGTTTGTATTCACTTTCATTTTATAACTAAAGTCTCATTTTGGAGGGCCAAGCCAGTACTGGGGTTTGAAAACCTTTTGCTCCAGGGGCACAGTGCTCTACTCCTGGAGCCACGCCTCTAGTGCTCAAGTTGTTTGTTTGCAGTATTTAAACATTTTAATTTTCCTTTCTCTGATCTTCCCCAGAAGGCAATGGGGGTGACCGTGTAGTCAAGTGTCTTTGCTAGTAGTTGAGCTGTGCTGGTGGAGTTTTAAGTCTTGTTTTTAAGGATTGCATTTTCCAATAAGTGAAGCTTTGGATATATGTTGCAACACGAGCATAGCTTTAAACCAGTCTTTATGTTTCTTTATGGGATTGAAGAAAGGATTGGACCACATTGGGTTCAATCCTTTCTGGTTTGGGGTCAATCCTGGATCTGACCATCTTGCGAAGGCATGAGGTTTTGTGGAGACAAAGAATGAATATTTTGTTAGTTCTTTTGCCAAAACAAGTTATTTATGCATTCACACTTAAAGGTGGTAGCAGGGTGTGTACACTGCTTCCCTGGGTAACAGTTTTGAGACTTTCAAACATTGTTTTTCTCTGTACACACATTCTGGTAGTAAATTTTATTTATGCAAGGACTTTCCAAGGACTTTCCTGAGACAAAGGGCTTTGTAATATTGAGCTTTTTGATTTGTCATCCACAGCTGTTATCATTTTACCTAGCCAATTGTGAATGGCTTGATTCCTCATCTTCTGTTGATATTGCCTCTGGGAGGGAGTTGGGAGTGGCTGCAATAAAGATGCAGAGGAATTTGAAATAGACCACTTGAGGTCTTATCTAGATTGCTTGAGGGACTGGAAACTGTTTATCTCTGGATCTAACCTTCTGGGTAGAAGTCCTTTATCCCTCCCTAACTAAAGACCTGGGGTGATTCCAGGGTGGAAGGCATGGTTTTGATGAGTAACAGTGAACCACCAGCTTCTGTGGATCCAGAGTTTCTCAGTGTCCAGCTAGAATCCATCTGTGGTTTCTAATGGTGAATCAGTGACTATTCCTGCTACATTTAATGCAAAGTCAGATGAAGGAACAGAATCTCTCCACTGGCTGGTGTGATTCTCCCCCCTCCTCCAGGACCCCCCCCTCCTGCCCCCCACCTTTCTCTCCTCTGCTAGTACTGAAGCTTGAACTCGACTTGGGCACTGTTTCGTAACTTTTTCCCTCAAGGTGCATCAATGCTTTACTACTAAGGCACACCTCCACTTCAGGATTTTTGCTGGTTATTGGGAGTTAATGGCCTCAGGACTTTCTTACCCCAGCTGCTTTGAACTGTGATCCTCAGATCTCAGCTCCAGTACTTTTCTTTATTATTTTTATTAGTATATTCATTCCTTGACCTGAAGAACAAATTACTCCTTTGTAGGATTTAGTGTAAAGCAAATCTAATGGGAAGACATTGCTTTCTTGTTTTGCCTTTCCTGGGTTTGGTTTTCTGTGTGTTTTTAATATTTGATCTTCTGTGCTAGAATTGCTTTCTTTCTTTTTTTTTGGTCAGACATGGAGCTTGAACTCTGGGTCTGGGCGCTGTGCCTCAGCTCTTCAGATCAAGGCTAGAGCTCTACCACTTGAGCTATAGCGCCACTTCTGGTGCTTTATTGGAGATAAGAGTTTCACAGACTTTCCTGCCCCAGCTGGCTTTGAGCTGAAATCCTCAGATCTCAGCCTCCTGAGTAGTTAGGATTACAGAGGCGAACCCCTGGCACCTGGTTAGAATTGCTAT